CCCAAAGCGGATGCACAAGGCTTCAATGAACTCCGCCCAAGTTACCTGGGAATGATTATGGCGATACCATTGGAGCCATAGAATCGCATCTCCTTCTAGATGAATGGAGGTGATGGAGACATGCTGGTGTGTGGGAGTTTCGTGGTATTCGAAATATCTTTCTGCTCGAAAGATCTAGGGAATGGGATCTCCACCGAAATAGTTGGGAAAGTTGATCTTAGTGATTTTTCCGGTGGGGTAATACCCTATTCTTTGGCTACTGGAAGCAGAGGCTTCCACTCCTGCTGGGCGACTGGTCTCGCTGGACTGTTGCTGAGAGGTGAAGCTGGAGACGACCACTTTGAGTTCCTTGAATTCGTTCAACACCTGGTGGAATCCAACCTCAAGCTAGTCGACCCTATCATCCACGGTAGTGGAACGTGTCTGTGGCATCGTGAAGCCTGGGATTTGGATAGCCTAGCTCTGATTCCAATCTGATAAGTTACCGCTCACCTCGAAAGACCCTTCAAGGGTGGCTTAACCTCCTGAAACAGAAGATGGGGGGAAAAGAGAGGGGAAAGGTAGGAAGAAAATGACTCAGAGAGAGATGAAAGAGATATTCATTCACGCCACTTATTACATGATCAGGGCCTTATATAGCTGGCCTACATGTATGCAATCATGGAGAGAATATTTTCTGGTGGCAGTGTAACTAACTCTGGGAGGCTCTGTCGCATGTCATGCTAGCCTCTCTGTCTTCTAGTGAAATGTTGTTTGGTGGTGGCCTGCTCCACTCCTATAGTTGGGTTCGGAGGGAGTGTTTGGGTCCCAACAGATTTTAAATGAGTTGTTCTACCACCTAGTAACAAAAGAGCAAAAATCCTTGAGGAAGCACCGAAGCAACTGAGAGAAAAATTTTATTGTTTAGTTTTTTTTTATTAGCAACAATTTTATTGTTAGTTTTAAACCTTGCAATAATGCAATTAGAGTTTTCCACAAAAATGTTTTCCTTGTTCCACAACTACCATAGACAAAGATAAAACCACCCTTGCCCCACTATTTTTTCCAATTAACATTTTTTGCCTCAATTCCCAATTTTTAGCACTTTTTATAAATAAAAATTAAAACTGAAATAAAAAAATATAAGGTAAACATAAAATGATACATATATTAGATGTAGATTATAATTATACACTACACTCAATTTTTAAAACACTTGTTTATATATATGCATATAACCTAAAAACCAGAAAAATGAACGGATTAACTAACTGATTCGCTTTGGCACTTTACAAAAACCGAAAGGACTAGTTCAATTTCAAACATGTGCCCACAATTTGGTTAATCAAACCATGAGCACTATTATTTAGAACCAACTGGTAGCCCCAAATATGTAAACAAAAGATTACCAATTTGACATCCCAATGACCAAGGAAACTCTTTAAGAAGCTCAAATGGTTAACAACCACCGTCATTACACTATTACTGAAATTATCCTTTATACCAGAAAAAACACTTTACCTTAGAAAATGGAGATGAAAAGGAACTAACTCTCCTTCATGAATCCCCAATTTGCATGATCATAAGCCTTAAAAAGGATGAAAAAAATTCTACCAATGAGCCATTTACCAAAATCAACACGGATACTGAAAATACACAAGAAAAAAACCTAACTACTCCACCCTTTCCCAAAGCCCATCAAACCAACTACCCCTTCATGAATTGCCATTCTGCATGATCTTATAAACCTTTTCCATATCAATATTGCAATTTGCAAATCAATCCTAAAATGTTGGCTATAAGTCTTGGATCCACTAATATATTAGTAACCAAAACTCCATCCAAAATTTGTCTTCCCCCCACCAATGCCATTTAAGTTAGACCAATCACATCATGTAAAACAGTTACAGCCTTTTGGAGAGAATTTTGCAATAATATCTTAGAAACATGAGATGAAGCTGACAAAGATTCAAGTCTTTTAATTCTATGGCCCCTTCTTTTTCGAAACTAAGGTGATGAATGTAGCAGTTGTACCCATTTACAGTTCAGCATCTTTAGAAAACCTTGGATGAAACCAACATAATATCTCCTTTAACCAACCCTTCTTTCAACTATAATGTCGTAGACTTCATTTTCAATTATCAAAAAAAAAACTATAATGCCATAGACTTTGCCCCCAGCATGCTTCATCCCTATGGGTTGTCAATGACACTTCATTCGTCTTCTCCTCTCAATAGTTACCCATCTAGGAAACCTATCCTCCTATTCCAACTGCTCCAAGTATGCTAATTTCTGAAGACTCCCACCTCTTTTTTGTAAACAGAAGCATTCCCAAAATCTCTTCATTACAGCTCTTTAGGAATTCTTTGAGTACAAAGTAGAAAATGAAGGTTGTTAATAAATTTATTAAGATGCCTTAAGAACTTTCCCAAGATTTTTTTTCTTTTCTCACTAATATTCTGACAAACCAAACACAGCCTAAGGGGCTTCAATTTCTTTACCATGGAAAAATCTGCCACCAATCTCAGCCACATTGTTTCTTCCACCAATTTTTGTCATCATTAACATATTTTATTGATTTTATTTGAAAAAGGAAACATACCATTAAATTCCCAAGATAAATAAATGTAGAGACCATACTATTCAGTTCCTTTGAAAGATTACAAATTATGATGAATCCCCAACCCTGGCATGCACCAACCTCATTTTTGTCACCACAGTCAAACTATGCTATCAGCTAAAGCTTTTACCAATTTTGGGACCGACCTGAATGAGCAGTTCAGACGGATTAGATGCCATAAATATTTACTTCCCTAATCCCCAACCCTGGCATGCCCCTATCTAAATCTTTATCACCATAGTCTTGCTATACTATCAGCTGAAGCATTTACAATTTTGGGACCTACCTGAATAAGCAGTTCAGAATAGATGCCATAAACTTTTACTTTCCTTATCAGATATCCAAATGTCCAAGGGCCTTACACATTTGATAGAAACCAGCTGCCTGCCAATACACAACCACCTTCTATCACCATCCCACTCCAGCTTGCATCAATTACTAACTTCAAACCTTGATGTAGAGCCATCGGAGAATTTTCAACTCCTGATGGTCCTGCATGACTTACCACAATGTTCAACTCAAAGTCTCTAAAAACTCACCTCAGACCTAATTGTTCCCAATTGTCAATTGAACTTTTGTCAAACTTTACTTTTAGTCCCCTCCCCCCCCCCCAGTCAGGTGCCTCACAAATTATGGATAATACATGCCTTTATGTGAGTTTATTATCAATTTAAACCAAACCAAAAGACTGTATCACCAACATAGGTGGAGCCCCCTAGTTGCTCAGAAGGCATTCAATCAAGACAAAAACAAATCTGAATTTCTTGCTTAACGTGGATCATTCTTCAATACTCTCCAGCACCTATTTTATGGCTTTTTACTGTTGCCTTAAAAATTTCCCCTCTTCTATTTTATTCATTAGAAGAAGAATACCAAAAGTGTTTTATGAAAGACTTTCAACATGCATATGTTAGAATCAAAAGTCGTATTATGCTTCCTCTCTGTTATGCTAACAACACAAATGAAACAAATTTAATCCCTTAATTTATTGAAAATCCATCGATACCATGGATCTCAAATAAAGGTATGGTGGTGTTTCACATTACCACTAGGTTTTGTTGCTTTTGTTTAGCACAAATAATCAAAAGCTTATAATAGGATATTGCTTTACATTGCAGATTACCAAGCTTTTGTTATGTTTTTTACTCTGTTTTGACGAAATAGGCCAAAAGCCTTAACTTCATTGATCGAAGATCTCTAAACAGCATGTTTACCAGATGAAATAATAATTAGATTTGGATCTTTTTTTAAGATTTATGGGGAAGGAGAATTTATACTTGGCCTAAATCATGCATTGTTTTTCCAGTATTAGTAGTAATAGAGGTAGTATCATAATAAGTTCGGTTTGTATTTAGTTCATTTAGATTTTAAACAAAGTTTTATTTAATGAACCATAGCTTATCTTAACCTTCTCAAGCATATTTTCACAATACAAATACAATAGAATACAATATGTGGTATACTGATATCCTAATATAGGATCATTGCACGAAAACTGGTAGCAATATCTAAACCATCCCCAAATGCTTTGATTTAAATATTTTACCTTTTTTCATGGATAAATATTTTACCTATTATCCATGAAGTCACCATCAATTTCCACTGACCAATGGATCTCCGGTAGAAATTTGATGCTATCCACTTTCCGGCTTTAAACAGAGAGAGATTTTCTTAGGTTTTGTTCCTTGACTTCCATATCCGCGTAATTTCTTTCCTACATTTAAAAACTCTGAAACCCGTTTGATGAAGAAGCCAGTATAATGTTACCAGCAAGCTATTGATACCTCAAGGATCTCTTGCATTCTTCCCGAATATAATGGAGACAAATAGTACAATATTTAATGAAGATAACCAACCCCCCAAGTGTACCAGAAGACCATCCAAGAAGTAAGATAACCATCCCTATATCTCTCAATTCTCTTCCAGCACTTTTGCAATGAATGAAAAAGATAACTGATGTGTTCCCTGCATCCCTGCACATCAAACCCCCATTCAAAGGATTTTGATGTCTCATCAATAAAAACCATGACATTCTGATGGTTGATCTCCAAACAACCAAAACTGATATTAACAAAAGAAAGTTCACATCTAAGGGCCACTGTTTGGTGCAATTGCTAAAATTTGTGCTAACAAGAATGAGAATCAGCAGAGTGGATTTTTTACAATGCACTCAAAAATGAGTAGGGCAGTATGTGAGAAGGTAGGCGTCTCAGAAATAAGTAGGATGAAGTTCAGAGATGATATTAAAAATTTAAGTTGAATGATAGAACAATCAATAAATACATAAGGCCAAAAGGAATAGATTGGCTCTACAAATACGACCAAATGTTATAGATCAAACTATAAAGATCAACCATGTCAGTGAAGGCTTGATTTCTGAAAATATTTGCAATTTCCTCACCGTTGAAATGATGTAGTCTTCAAAGGACTCTCGGTATTTATCATATAGCTGTTGAGAGTAATCATGAGGAGGTTTTTGAGTACACATATTGTAGATGGTTCTGTCCTTAAAGTTAAGGAAGCACAAATGCATCAAAGGAGCGCCATAGAAACCCAAAGATATAAAGCATTAAAACGAAATAAACAAAACAAAAAGGATACGTGTAGAGCATCATATAATCCTCCGAGCTAAATTGCGTTTCAGGAAGCCCTTCTAGAATGTTTTTGAGTTTTGTGATCCCCTTCTGCATGAACTCCCATCCTTGGTCTAAGTCAATAATCTTCCGCTCAGCCATTGTCATATCGCCACCCTCTAAATTTAGTTCTCCAGTTTAAATTCTGCAAAGTGTAATTGCCAAGCATCACAATTCCGAATATAATGATTAATAAAAGATCCTAACAACTAAAACCTACTACTAATCCAATTGCACAAGCAAAAAGCTAGGAAAATCCCCAAATCCAATTTCGTTTAATACTTGCCAGTTTACTAAGTTCTACCTAGAAATAATCAGAACAACACGATGCCCTGATCAAAAGCCTCTGACGATCCAGAGGAAACCCCTAATCCATCCTTAAATTAAGGGAAAAACCCAGAATATGTCACTGTATTGAAATCGCGAACGACGAATAGTAAAGCCAGGGGAATAAGAAATGATCAAAAAAAAAACACAGGAAAGAAATAAAAAAATAAAATAAAATCTATTAGAGCTGGATAAAGAAATAACGAAACGAACAGTTGCAAAATAGAAAAAGGAAGAAAGATCGAAAAAATAGATAAAAGTATTGAAAACCTGATATAGGGATTGAAAATACCTGAATTGAATCAAGCACGAACCCTAACCCTAGAAAGCAAGCCCTAGAGGGAGGGAAGGGCGGTGGAGTAGTGCGACAGAGAAGCCGCTTTGAAACGATTGAGATGGTGAGAGACCTCCGACAAAGCGCATTCAAGGAAGGGGAAGCCAAAAGTCGGTCTCTCTCTCTCTCTCTCTCTCTCTCTCTCCAATATTTTTTCTCTCTCCCCCACACCCCCTATTTTCTGTTCATATATCTGGAACAGTCATTAAAATTAATTTTGATTATTTATCGGATTCAAATAGCTCAATTTTTTTATATCTATTAATTGTTCTATAATCCAAGAAACAAGAAAATTTAATCTCGAACTAAAATTATTTTTATTAGTTCTTTTATAACTGGACCGGGTTTGACAGCCGGGTCATTTCCAAATCCAAACCGACTTGAAATCTTCTACTGTTGTTGCTGTAAAAACCCCCTTGGAAAATCAATCAAATCATGCTTCTTTTTCACCTTGAATATGCTGTAAATGATCGGGTCGAGTCTTATCCATGGATTCAGATAGGATACGGGACGGGTTGATTTTGGATAAATAAAATTTTGATTAAAATATTATAAATTATTAATAAATAAATTGAATTTGATTTTGGTATTGTATATTAGGCTACGTTTGATTGCAAAGCAAATCGAGTGCAAAATTTGTACTTGGTTCAGTTTTGCTTTCCTTTGCTTCTCCAAAAAAAATATGAAATTTTGCATCACCTCTTACCTTGGTTCTTTCTCATATAAAGTGGAACCATTATCATCTTATATCCTATCTTATTTCTGGACAAATAAATCTCGTATTAGCTCCATTCTCTTCCATTTTAAAATGCAAGTTAAGAGCTTTTTGGAGATAAAAATGTTTGACTCTAAAAGGGATAGTGGAGAAAACTATCGATAAAGCGAGAGGTTGGAAAAGAAATCTATCAAGTTAGGGGAAAGTTAGGCTCAATTTGGAAGTAGTACAAATGCAAATATCTATAGTTTAAATACATATAAAATAATACAAAATATAAGGTTTTGCACTCTATACAATAGGGGATAACCCATTCCCAAGTGCAGGATTCGATCCCAAATCTCCACTACCTTACCAACCAATCGGTTGACACCTTTAAGTGTTTTCTGGTTCTATAAAAAACTCTTTGGTTGGTAAAGGTGTCAACCGATTGGTTGGTAAGGTAGTGTTTTTTTTTGTATCAGCCTATTCAACGAGCCACAGAAAACTCCAAAAGGAAGTTTTGTTGGAGAAATGGGCTTTCTAGGTTCTGGTTCTATCAAAAGAAAGAAATCAGTTGTTACAGCTCTCTCAGCTTTCTGGTTCTATCAAAAAAACTTCATCAGCAAATTGTATGCAGAAATGGGCTTCAGAGATCTATCCATCTTCAGTGAAGCTTTGTTGGTTAAGGTAGTTTAGATATTATTGCAGAATTTGGTGATGTGGGCTAAAATCCTTAAGGTTGTGTTTGGAATCACCGATGACATTTTACACTGAACCGTGAAAGTGAATGTTGTTTTTTGAAAAATGCGATGGGTGAAGAGTGTAAAGTTTTACATCAATAATCGATGTAAAACTTTACGTTTGATAGGTTTTACATCAATTATCGATGTAAAACTCCACTCCATCCAAGCATACGCAAAACTGAACCTGAAATTTTATGTCAACCACGATTACACTCTCCTTTCAAACCCAGACAAAATCGAACTGGTGTAAACTTTTACACCGATTCCAAAAGCAGCCTAAACATAGATACTTTCTGAGATTGGATATTTCTACAAGCTCAAGTTGGCCATAATCCCTGTTGGTGTGGGAAAGTATTTTGACAAGTATGGTGCAAGGATTTAATTTGGCAAATTGGAAATGGTGAAAATATTTAATTGGTAGGATGCTTGGGTTTTGGGGCTTCCAAATGGTAAGGTTCAATGAGGTCGCCCTCAAGAAGTTTAGGAAGTGCCCGTGAGGAACCTTATTCTTGTGGACCTCAAGAGGTGGAATCATGCTTGAGTATTTTCCCTATTCTACCAAGAAGAGGCTAAAGTAATTCTGTCAATTCCCTGAGTAATTCCGATGCAAAAGATACTCCCATCATTTGGGTACTGCTTGAGTTGATCCCCTCAGTTGGAATAAGATTTGGCCGATCCAAGCATTGTTAAAGGTTCAACGTTTCATCTGGAGACTCTCCAAGTGGTGGCTACGGTTAAGGATCCTAATTTGTTCCAACCAGCTCCTTTTGAAGATATATGCTCTGTGAGGCAAGGCTTTTGATGTTTTTCTTTCAGTCATGTTGTAAGTACATGGAATTAGGCACCATAGAAACTACGTTGAAGGGCATTCGAACGCATAACCACAGCGTGCTCACATCACAACATAAGCCTAAAACCCCATAGCGCAATTGAGGCTCAGTTTGGAAGGAGTACAAATACAAATATGTATAGTACAAAACTTTGTATTTTGTATTATTTTGCATGTATTTGTATTGTATATATTTGTATTTGTACTCTTCTCAAACTAAGTCTCCATAATGCAACGACCCTTGAATCACAACAAACACTCTACAATATGCAACAATAAATCTATCATTGCAGCGCACTATATTCTAAGAGCCATTTACCATCTTTCACGTAAGCCTCATTGTTGCCTTACCTTACCTTTCCCACCAAGGTTCAAAGTATTGACACGTATCAGCCCATATTGGCCGATACGTATTAGGGGTGTCAACGATATTCGAATATCCAATTTCGAATTCAGTATTTGGCATAATCGAATTGAATTTGGATAATTCAAATATCTAATTGGTCGAATTCAGATATGACCTGATTTGATTTGATAAATATCCGAATTCAACCAATTATTTAATTCTTATATATAATATAAAATATTTTATATACTTTATATATAATAATTAAGTTATATAAATAACTTATATATTTATATACTTTACAACAATAAAATATTTATTTTATATATTTATTAATTATCTAAAATAATTAATTAATCGAATCCGAATTGAATCGAATCGAATATTCAAATATACAATCGGATTCGAATTCAGATATTAATTTTCAATTTCCACCGAATATCGAATTTTCTAATCGAATTCGAATTCGAATTCAAATATTGCCTGGTCCGATTCGAATTTAATCCATTTGAACCCCTAATACGTATAGTTCCGGAACCCCTAATATAGGGGCGTATCAGGGGTCTGACTGGTTCAAGGGGTGGAGGAACCCTAAATCGGCCCTCCTAAACTGGTTTCAGAAAAAAAAATAAAAAAATAAAACCAGTAGCAATTCACCAGATCCCACACATGTCAGTCGAATAACCAATGGTTTGACCCATGTGCTGGATTCAAAGAGCCTTGGCCCTATAATTGTTTTCACTCAAATATTGCCTGGATTCACTCATGATGGTCGAAATTTGTATCATCCTTGATTTTTGATCTTTAAATGAAGTTCAAGTTTTAAACAAAACAAAAAAAAATCATTTTACTTCTCACAAACAAGAATCCGACTTCAGTCAATGCAAGTCCCGTTCGCACACGAGAGGAGAGTAAACGACGTTTAGCTCTCACATCAACCCTTGTTCATTCTCTTCCTCTCCTACCGGCGGCCGCAAAGCACATCACTGACAATTGTTAACATTTGCGACCAACAAAAAACTATCAAGTATTGATTCTTTCCTTCTTCTTTTTTCTTTCCCAAATCACTCTCCACACACATACAAAACATTGTTCACTCTCTCCCTATCCAACCAGCAACCGATCATTGTCTCCTACCTGATATAGAATTTATACTAGCAAATACAACATTTATGTACTTCATGCCTGATGTTATATTTTCACATTTCCATCTTATGATTGAGTTAAAATTTCAAAAGCAAAAAAAAAAAAAAAAAAAACTCTTGTTGCATGAAATAAACTTCAGAATTGAAACGACTTCGGAGAAAAACAGCTCTTGAGTGTTAACAGTCGCTGGTTATGCACATCATTGCCGCTGGTAGGAGAGGGAGAGAAGGAACAGGAGTTGTTGGAAGGAAACTGGATCTGCTCCTCACACAGGGCGCCTCACACGCACACCCTACCATGTATTGGGAATATCTCCCATAATTATAAGTTATTATTCAGGGGAGATGTTCCCAATGCACGGTGGGTGTGCATGTGAGGCGCCCCTATGTGAGAAGCAGATCCTGTTCCTATTTTAAGAGCTAAATGCCTTTTACTCTCCTCTCACATGCATTGCACGCATGGAAGGACGCGTGGCACATCCTCATGATGGTGTGCAAACAAGGCTTGCACGGACTGAAGTTGGATTCGACAAACAAATAAAACAAGACTGAATTTGGAAGAAGTACAAATGCAAATATGTAGAGTGCAAAACCTTATATTTTGTATGTATATACACTACACATATTTGCATTTGTACTCTTTCCAAATTGAAGCCAAAGTCAAGTTTAGAGCAAAAGTAAAACAGAATTTATACTTAGCCCTTTTGTACTCCCATCCATTTACACCAATGAAAATGACCAGGTTCAGCCTTATGAACAAACGGAAATGAAAAATAACTTCTATGAGACTTGAATCCTTGTTTTTTTTTCTGAATTTGCAATGTTAAAACCAAATTTTTAATGTTTTATGCACATATAAGTATATCCGTTTAAAAATTATAAGATATTATAAGTATATATGTTTAAATATTATAAGATTGGATCATGTTAGATAAAAATGTACACTGTTTGCAGCCCTTGAAGCAACGGCTCCAAGTTTTATTCCACTCACAAACCCCCATGCCTAGGGTTTGTTTGATCCGATTTGAATTTGGATAATTGGATAGATTTTTCTATTTGATTCAAACCCAATTAACCATATGAATAAAGGAAGGAATTCTAGAAATCCAGAAAATGGAAATTATTACCTCAAACACATTAATATTAATCTCTCTCTCTCCATCTATCTATCTTGTATATGAGTGGTAAAAAGTGTAAAGAAAAGAAAATAAATGTAGACAAAGAAAATAAATCATATGATGTTAAGATGTAAAGCAAAGACAAGCATTAACATTATATATACAATACATACATACATATATAATAGTGGTATATCCAAATTCAATCTAATTATTGACTATTAATAGCCCTAATTGAAACCCCAACTACTTATAAACCAAGGTTTGAAATATCCAAATTCGTTTTCTTTGAG